GCCTGGATGAACCTTGAAACCGTTATGCTAGGTGGAAGAAGCCAGAGGCAAAAGGCCAATACTGCATGATTCCACTTACAGAATAGGCAAACCCATAGGATGAAAAGTACATTAGCGGCTGCCTAGGCTGGGAGAAGGAAGCAACTGCTAAGGGGTAGGGGGTTGCTTTTAGGGAGACGAAAATGTTCTGGAATTGAATTGTGGTGATAATTGGACAGCCTTGTGAATTTGCTAAAAACCACTGAATTGTACACTTTACAAAAGTACATTTTATGGTGTGAATTACCTCTTTAAAAATGCTGTAAGAGATTGCTGCTACAGACCTGCGTGTAGCTATACACGTCAGAAGGAAAAGATCTCAAGGTGAGACCTTTCTTCTGCTGCTCGTACATTCTTCCTGCTGCTCCTCCAAGTGCAGATATCTTGAAAGTTACAGATGGGGGAGGGGCTGACTTCCCCCAGGTAATCTAGACCCTTACCCTAGATCCAAGCCAGCTGAGTAGCACAGAGCAGTTTCTAAAATGTAGCTAACATGGGCATGTTAATTTTGCTACTTTTGTTTACTAAAACTGCAGTTCTAGGAAAAACAGGATAAACTGAAAGATCCTAGATAACTCGCTTCCTGGACTTTTCCTGTGATTATGCCTGACTTCACTTCCATTTTCCTGATGTCTGTTTTCCTTTGGTCTGATTGGAGAAAAACAGGAATCTTTGTAGTAGCCACTGTGGCCCATTCCTTTAGCTGAGCATGGACTGTTGGCTCCTTGCTGGTTCCTCCAAGACTTCATTGTTTCCGAGCCAAAGAAATGGAGCAGTAAAACAAACAACAACAACCAAATCAAACCAAACAAACAAACAAAAAACATTCAAAAAGACTTCACTGCTTACCTGTATTCCTTTTTATATATAGTTCTTGGTCCCCACTTCTAGGTGTTAAGGGCCATAATGGTCACAAATATTGTGATAACTTGAGAGGATCCCTTTTGAGGATGTGACATGACCACCCAGAGGATCTCAAAATTTTCATTTCACTGACACTGAAGAGTGTGTTTCTTAGGATTTTTCTGCTCTGTAATGATAGATAATCACAGCTGACAGTGAAGATAGCGCTGAACTTTCTGTAAAGTCCCAGGCCTAAGCATCATCTGTAGCAGAGACAAATAGTTTTAATTAATGACAAAAGGTTTGCCTGTCCCTGCGAGGGTGAAAGGGGCTGGTGCTGTTTCATTCCCTGTGCCACGTACTGGAGTGAAGGGGCACGAGAGGGAGCATCCCAGGGTCCTGGCTTTCGAGAGCAGGGGCTGCAAGAGTCAGCTGTGGTCACACAGCCAGACTGGAGAGTCATACATGTCTCTTGGTTAGTGGTCTGACCACTTTGAACAGAGGTATTTTATTTCAGGTTTGAAAGAAAGCAGTCTCTAAACAGTCTCCTCAAAGTAAAAGCTTTGAGGAGTTTTTAGGAAAAGATGTTTTGACTGTCACATATAGATTCATGTAATGGCCTCACTGATTCTTGGTAAGTGGAAGCCTACAGAAGGTCCCGTAGAAGCTCAGTTGGACCAGCACAATCTCCCTGAGCAGAACGAGTCCATTGGGTCCCCTCTGTCAGCTACAGACAACAGAGGAGTGAGCAGATCAACTTCAGAAATGAGGCAACATGCAGGGGGTTAAGAAAGGGGTGTTTTCATGAAACATGATTTTCATTTTAACAAAGATTTATGAAGCGCTAACCATATGCCAGGCACAAATTGCCTTACAAATGTCAGCTCATTCCATCTTCTTCACAGCACCCTGAGGCAGGCAGTGCTACAATACCTACTTCATAGATGGGGGAAACTAAGGCACAGTAAGAAAGGTCCAGCAACTTGCTTAAGATCACATGGCTAATAAGTGGCAGAGCTGAGATCTGAACTCACACAGTGCTGTTCTGGACTCTGTGTTTTAACTAGTATGTGTGTGATGCTGCCTCTCTTATGATAAACATCAGAATATAGAAGGACAAAGTACAATATTGAAGATCCAAATATGTCTTAGGACCAATTTGTTTTAAGATACATCTACAGAGAAAACATACCAACAGGTTGTGGAAGTTATCTAGGAAATGAGGATGGATAATCCTCATTTTTTTCTCGATACTTTATTTGTCAAGGTTTTGTAAGTTGGGTGGTTGGTTGTATGTTTTAAAAAAATAGCCACAATAATACTTCTGATTTCTGGGTGCTCTTCTAGAACTTTGCCATTTCCCCATCAAGAGATGGAGCCCACTTCCTCTTCCCTTGAACCTAGGTGGGACTTTGTGACTGCCTTAACAAAGAGCAAGTGGCAAAAGAGACTGACTTCTGAGGCTGGGCCACACAAGGTGGTACAGCTTCTGCCTTCTCTCTCTCTTAACGCACTTGCTTTGGGGCCCAGAGCCTCTGGGTAAGAAATACTGCCACCCAAAGTCACATGCTGAAGAGACCACATGGGGATCTTGACTCACTGCAACCTGCACCTCCCTGGTTCAAGGGATTCTCCTGCCTCAGGCTCCTGAGTAGCTGGGACTACAGGTGCCGGCCACTGCGCCCAGGTAATTTTTGTATTTTTAGTGGAGACAGGATTTCATCATGTTGGCCAGGCTGGTTTTGGACTCCTGACCTCAAGTGATTCACCCACCTTGGCCCCGCAAAGTGCTGGGATTATAGGCGTGAGCCACTGTGCCTGGCCCCTACATGATCTTTTAACCGCAACCTCACAATAGACACCACCACCTCCTTGTGGGTTCCCAGCGAAGTCCTTTGAGGCTCTGCAGATCAGAGCCTGTTTATTCTTCTCAGGACCACTACAAGTTCCATTGAAGTTTAAAGATATGATTGTTCTCTACAGTGACTTTTTGTTTCAAGCATTATTGCCTGAAGTAGTTGTTTGACAAGAGGTGTGGTTAAATTTTAGGTAGTATAAACTTCTTTTTAATAAACTGTTCAAGTCCCTGAAGTTCTATCTGCTGACTGGGGTTTTCTGACACGGGCTCCCTTGGAGGGTTAACAGTCTGTTGTCTCTTTTCCCCTCAGAGATATTCTTTACCACATATATTAAGAGGTTATTTTCATCTTGTTCGTGTAGAAATGAGAATGAAATCTTTGCTTTCTAATTTTCCTCTCTTCCTAATGTCATTGGTTGCTACTGACTTATGCAATGTGATTCTTCCCTGGGCACTCATCAGTGGGTATTGTTTTCAACTTGGCATGGCTCAAACCTCAAACTTTTAAAGTTTTAAAGCAGCCATGTTGCACTTATGATCAATAAATCAAGCACTGTGACCGCTTTATTGCTTGTAAGGTGATTACCCTACTTTGCCCGTAGTGACTCTTCAGTTTGATTAAAATGCAGTTTCATCAGGCCATAGTTGAGTCCTCTAGATATATAAATACATGAGAGAAGCCCACACTCAAATGTTTTTATAACCACCCTTCAACTTTTTAACCATCTATTCCAGTACTGTTGTGGTCCTTATCCTATAATTCAAATTTCCATGCTCTTTGCCAAAGTAATTTTTATTTAGTGCATAATCCAACCTCTTGTCTCTGTAAGAGTATATTCTTTTTTCTGCTAACTAGTGGTAAGCCTTGGTCCCACTGCAAAGAATTTTCTACAGGTAAAATGAGCTCCTGTGCAATCCGCAGATCAGGCTCTGATGGTGGGAGAATATGAGAGATGGTGTTGGTTCACTTGTGATTGTTTTCTAGGTGAGGGGAGCTGGAATAATGGGAGTGGAATTATTATCTTGGACAGGAGAGGAACACGCATTCAACCGTGCCACTGCCCTGGCAGCAGGAACCCTTTTGACTGCATTTTAAGACATTAATAATGAGCATCTGTCCCAGAGCTCCTTGCCCAGGGCAGTGTGCCACCAGCCTCTCATGGCTTTTGGCTCATGACAGGTTGCCCCACCTCCCTTGTCCATCTCCAAGGTGCCCCACTCACGCAGAGGGCTCCTGCCCTCTGCAGATTGCCTGGGTTCCAACCAGCTCATTAAAGTCTAGCCAGTATTTTCACTGTGCCGTTGGGGTACATTCTGAATATCCACGTTGACAGCCACACAGGCTGCCTACCTGAGTGGTCCACTCTGTCTCCCAGGGGAACCAATTATTGGTTTGATTGCCATTATTTTCATTTAAACCCTATTTGCCCCTGTAGCCCTGTCATCTGGTCACCTTGCTTTTGCAGAATGTGAGGTTTTTCAGGAATGTATATAATTGATCCTCATTTGCAGATTCTATATTTGCAAATTTGCCAACTGGCTAAAATGTATGTGTAGCTCCCAGATCAATACTCATAGAGCTTTCGAGGTTGTTCATAGATATGTGTGTGTGTAGAGCAACAGGAAGTGCCAGGAGCACCTGTTTCTCACTGAGGTCTGAGAGGGCGATGCTCTGCCTTCCTGCTTCCACTCTCCTCCTGTCAGCAAGGATGCTTTTCGTATTCTATTTAGTGCCATGTTTTTCAGTTTTGTGCTTTTTTTTTTTTTTTGGTAATTTTGCTGTTGAAAATGGCCCTGTAGTGCAGTGCTGGGAAGCTGTCTAGTGTTCCTGAACATAAGAGGGCTGTAACATGTTTTATGGAGAAGCCTCATGCAGGCATGAGTGATAGTGCTACTGGCTGTGAGGTCAATGTTAATGACTCTACAATATCTATTAAATAGAGTATCTTTAAACAGAAGTACATAAACAAGTTACATTTTGATTGTTTGATGAAAACGTGACCAAAGGTTTGCAGGAATCTTGCTCTGTATTCTCTTGGTAACAGTAGTTCAGCATTCAGTAATTTAGTATTTGAGATGACTTTATAGAGCATAACTTCTATGAGTAATGATAATTGAATGTGCATATATTTCATTACAGCAGAGATGCCTATGCTGAAATAATTCTTCTTATATAAGAAAATAGGACACGTGGATTATTCTTCTGCCATGTCTGTGGCATGTCCCACTCACATATTTAACCACCAGTTTTCTTGCCCAGGTGTAATTAGCATGGTCAATGCGGGAGCAATGAGTGGCTCTGGAAACCTGATGGATTTCCTCGATGAACCATTCCCTGACGTGGGGACGTATGAGGACTTCCACACCATCGACTGGCTAAGGGAAAAGTCACGGGACACTGACAGACACAGGAAGGTAGGTGACATTACGAAAGGACACACTACAAATGGCTAAGCAATGCTTTCATTCAAAAGTTACTGAGCTGGGGCTTAGGTCCACGTACATGTCATGTGCTGGGTTAGGGTCTAAAGAAGAAAAGAGCCAGTGGGAGAAGCAGATACATGAGATCATTGTACTAGCAGGCACTTTGGGCAGGACGCTGTGTCATATGGAGGGAATGTGGTGTAGAGGAGAGGGAGGGAGCTTTGCAGGTGCCATTTCTGGACCCCGTTTTCTCATCCATGAGGATGGAGGTGATTATGCCTGAAGAGAAAATGAGATTATGTGTATATGAAAGCACATATAACAGTGCCTGGCTTCTAGTTGGCAATCGGTATATATTTAAATGGACCGCAATGGTTGTCTGTCAAGTGCTGTGTGATCTTTTAGGTTCGGTTAGCGAAGGGTTTTTCAGAAAGGGTAACATTTCAGTTAAGTCTTGAAGGATGACTAAGATTTTGCTAGGCAGAGGAAGGGAAATGATTCTAAACATCAGGAATGAACCCCCGCCCCTTTTAAAAACTTTTCTTTTTTTTGCATCTCTGGAAGTCTTGGCTCTTCAGGGTGAATGGCCCCCTTTTAAAAGTCACTGAGGCATGAAAGAATGTGATGTATTTGGGCAATTCAGGAAGCTCTAAGGGTCTGGTGGAGGATTCCTGCAAGGAGAGGGATAGGGATGAGTGTGGAAATAGAGGCAGCAGGACCACATGGGGGACGGCCATGCTGGCGGTGGAGAGGAGTTTGTATTTTGTGCTGAAAGCCATAGAAGACAATAAAGATGCACTGCAAAGGGAGAAGCAGGAAGCTTGGAAATGAGTCCAGGAGACCGAAGGCAGTGACGTGCAGGTGAAGAGAGGGGATCAGGGTCAAGAGGCATTCTGAGGCGCCACGGACAGGATTCAGGGGAGGTGCTGGGGTCAGGAGGGGAGAGGGGTCTTGGAAGTGCAGTCATGGAACACTAGGTTGTGGCCTGATGTGGATGATGTCTTTGATGCCTAGAGGAAGCAAAGGGAGACTGGCCGACTGCGGGGAGTCCAATGGGTTCTGTGTAGATGCGTTGGCTTGAGCTACACAGGGGACAGGTGATCACAGGTGGCGAGAACTCTGTGGTTCAAGGGTGAGGGAAGGGCCAGGGGGAGAATGAGGTCCCTGCCTGCAAGTGGAGGCTGAAGCTTTAGAAGCGGCCATGGTGGCTTGTGTGTACAGAAAGAGAAGGGAGGAGGAGGTCAAGACCCTAGGCAGTGCCCAGAGTTACCAGGTCCAGGGGTGGCAGGTGGGGAGCCTGCAACAAGAGGGGACCCCACTAAGAGCGGTCCCCTGTGAATGGAGAGGGTGTTGTGCAGGGGGCTGCTCACAAGGTTATCCTCCATGGGGAGGTCAGGTAGGAGGCAAACCAGCGGCCTGGGGGCTGGCAGTGAGGGGAGAGCTGCTTCAGAGGAGGGTGAGCAGTGACATGGACAGTGTGACCATGTCACCTTGCTTCACGAGGGCTGGCATAAAAAGAGGAGGGCAATGTGAAGGGAGTCAGGTTAAGTCATGAAGATGTTGCAGCCTCTTGGCTCTAGCATGCAAGAACATGGGATTGAGGCAGCTTTCCCTCTAGAGCATGGCTCAGCCGACTGCAGCCCACAGGCCAAAGCCAGCTGGCACCTCGTTTTGTAAATAAACTTTTGTTGGAACTCAGCCATGCCCATCCATTTCCATATTTTTTATGGCTACTTTTGTGCTACAGTGGCAGGGTTGAGAAGTTGCAACAGAGACCATTTGGCCTGCAAAGCCCAAAATATTTACTCTCTGGTCCTTTCCAGAAAACATTTACCCACCACTGCTCTAAAAGGCCATGAGAGAAATATGATCTCAGAGGTGCATACAATTCTGTTAGCACAGGGAGGTGTGTATAGATGTGTCCATCTGATATGGTAAACGTGATCTATGGCAGCTAATTCTAAGTTTGTGCTGTTAAATTTAACCTTGAAAACAAAGAGGAGATGAAGTCTTTGTTGAAGAGGCTTTTTAATGAAACCTAGCAATGTAAGTTAAGATAGTAACTCATGTTCAGAATGGAGACACTGAACCAATGTTCCCCTTCAGCACAGCTTTTAAATTGTCGAAGATCAAATCACATTTAGTACGTGTTTTTTAATTAAGTGAATTCTTTGTGTGTGTGCTCAAATTCTTTGGAGACTATTGTGGCATCTTTATAGCTCTATAGAGTAGAAAGCTCATCTTACCATTGCAGCACATAGCTGAAAGAATCACAACAGTGGGAATTTAGCTACTTGATAAAATTCATTTTATTTTCTTAATTACCCTGTTTCCTGAGGAAACAGTTTCAAGGAAAAAAACATGAATTAGAAAATACATTCAGATCAGCTGCTGTATCTGCTTTGTTCTAGATCACCAGCAAGAGCAAGGAGTCCATATGGGAGTTCATCAAGAGCCTGCTGGATGCCTGGTCGGGATGGGTGGTGATGCTGCTCATCGGCCTGCTGGCAGGTACGTGGATGGGCACGCAGCACTCCTGCGGGAAGCTATTGAGGCCAAAACCCCAAAACATGAACGCTCTGGGAGGTTTGGAATAAGGAACGTGTGTCTTTTACTCTCGTGGGAGGGATTTATTACTTGAAATATCTAAGGGCAAAATGCATGACTATATATTTAACCTAAAATCTATCATCCATAAGGCATTCCCAAGGCACAAGCCCAGGCACAGGCCTTTGTGGAGCTGTGATGACAGAGCTGGTGGCCTGTCCACACAGTGCAGAATATTCTTACTCTACGGGATTTGACTGAAAACATACATTTTTTTAGAAAGGTCTTGTTCTGTTGCCCAGGCTGCAGGGCAGTGACATGATGACAGTTCACTGCAGCCTCTACCTCCCAGGGCCGAGCAATCCTCCCACCTCAGCCTTCTGAGTAGCCAGGACCACAGGCATGCGTGCCACCATGTTCAGCTAATTTTTGTTATTTTTTGTAGAGATGGGGGTCTCATTATGTTGCTCAGGCTGCTCTTGAACTCCTGAGCTCAAGCCATCCTCTTGCCTCAGCCTCCCAAAGTGTTGGGATTACAGGCGTGAGCCACTGAGCCCAGCCAAGCACATATTTTATGTTCTGTTGTAGTTGGTTATGTAGATGGCAACAAAATCAGGGACTGTTTTGATCTTCAATAACAAAACGTCATATGAGATTTCCTTTTACTACTACTGGTAGGCTCTGGGATGAACTTGAAACATTCAGCAATGCTGAGCACCATGCTGGACACCCACGGGAGCTGAGGCAGGCCCCTGACCCTCAGGGACTCTGCATCTTTCCTTTTTAGAATCCCAACACCATGTTTGCGAGCAGTAGATGTTTCCAGAGTAAATGGATGCTATCTGGAGGGGAAACCCATCTTTTTAATAGCAAACACTCCAGCCCTTCATGGAAATAGTTTCCTAAAACTTATGTCCTTTTAGGAGATTAAGAAGGTTAATGTCTAAGAATAAAAAATTTGGCATGATGAAGAGGTTCTTTTAATAATAATCCCCTACATATAACAACATAATAGTTATGGTTAGAGAACGGATAAGGGAATTGACTATACCATAGTAGTACATGCTCTAAGAAGGACGAACACTAATGGGGCACAGATAGAGTTTTGTGAGTACAGGGGATTTCAGTTTCCAGGTGATCTTTGATTTATTCCATAGATCATCGGAGGAGGGGCTTGGTTGCCACGGAAGAGCTCTACCTTCCTCACCTGCCTCAGCGTCCCATAAAGAGTTCAGAGGAATGCTTGGAGGGGGGATCCTTTCCTACCAGTCACAGATGCTGTCTGTCCACTTCTCCATGTCTGTCCTTTCTTTCCCATTGGCATTTCCCATCATGTACTGGTGGCAGCCAGGGCAGGGAATTAGACTTCATTGTCACAAGGTATTGGATGACCAGTTTTGCTTGGCTGCTTCTATGAAGGCCTTTGAAGGCCAAGTGGGAGTTTGCTATGAATTTTTATGTCCTTATTTAGAGTATTTGATAAAACCTTATAGTGTGTCATTATTCTTGGCTTATAGGAAGGAGAAATAAATAGGGTAAATGAAGAAACTCAGAATAGTAATAGACGTTCTGATAACAGCACAGCTTAAATTTATTGACTGACCTAGAAGCCCAATTGGGCTAACTTTAACAAATCTGATTTTGACCAGCTGGCTTTATTATCCACTTGATTTTCATTAGGACGGGGAATTTAAAAAATTATGCTGCTGCCCAGGCTTCACTTAAACAGTGTCTCTGGAGAGGACCTCTGACTTGAATGCAGCCTGCCCCTCCACTCTGTGATTGTAACGTGCAGCCAGGTGTGAGCACCGCTGGACAAAAGGAGAGCCCATGGGCACATCAGCAGGGGAATACATGGGAGGGTGAGAATGGGTGACGCTGAAATGAAAGGGCTACAGTGTTCTTTTGATTTGAATGCACTTTGAAGCGACAGTCAGAGCCATGTCCCACTCACTTCCCCCTTCCTCGCTGGAATAGTGGAGAGGATCCCGGGTCTCATCGCCTGGCCGGCTGTCCCCTCAGTGGCTGTTGTCTTTGGACTCTCCTTATGGGTAGGCCCACAGCATCTCGGCAGGTGCTTATCAGGAGTTACCACTAGGTGTCACTGTTGGACCACGAAAGAAAGCTGAGGCCCGCTGCAGCGCAGTCATAACCAGCCTCAGCAAGGAAGATTGGGTGTGCAGTAGGGGAATTGCGAATGAATGAGTAGTGATGAAACTTGGGGTGATCATCTCGTTTGCTCCTGAATATCTGCAGGACCCTCCCATCTTCACGTTCTTCTTCAAATACCACAAGATGTCCCTTATATGTGGAGTCTAAAAAAACCAGTATCATAGAAACAGAGTAGAAAGGTGGCTGCTAGGGGCTGGGAGGGGTGGGGGCAGGATGGGGAAACGGATATTGATCAGAGGGTGTAAGGTTCAGTTAGACTGGAGGAATAAGCTTTAGTGAGCTGTCGAATTGCATGGTGACCACGGTTAATAATCATGTATTGTATATTTCAAAATTGCTAAAAGAATAGACTTTAACATTCTCACCACAAAAATAAATTGGTGAGATGATTTATTTGATTGGTGCGAAGGTAATTGTGGTTTTTGCCATTAAAAGCAACAGTATGATTGAATCTTTAATTAGCTTGATCAAATCTTTCTGTAATGTGTACATCGATAAAAACATGCCATTGATATACACAATTATTATGTGTCAGTTTTAAAAAGTTAAAAAGATCAAGATAATGAGCCCTGTGCCTTTGTTTTTCCTTTGGATAGTTCTAAAGTTGACCCTGTGGAAAGACCTCATGAAATACTAAATATTATGGCTCTTGCTTGCTGTTGCTAGGGGGCAGTGTTTACTTAGCTAACTCTGCAAACTAGCATTAAGCTGAACCAAGCTTGCATCCAGGGTTTCATGATCTGGAGAAAACACTTTAAGCATGTATAATTTCTTTTCATTGAGTTTCAGTTTCCAACTTTAAATCAGGAAATAGTTTTCACCATTCCACAAGGCATATGTGCTTCAAAATATGTTGTACAGGATAAAAACACACAATGTTATGTATCAATTTAAAAATGAAAGAATAAACAAATCAGGAAATAATGATATCTCTCAATGAGACTAATTGTATATATTTTTATATTTGAAACCAAGTATTTCATTATTGAATTGCATGCTTAAAAATTTCAAACTTGTCTGATATTTAAAATTTAAAAAACGATAAAATTACATCCCTCCCTCTCTGAGCCTCAACCCCGTTGCCTGCTATATGGGTATATATAGTATGTATGTAAAGCTTTATTGAAATATAACACAGATACCATACAATTCACCCATTTAAAGTATACAATTCAGTGGTTTTTAGTGTATCACAGAGTTGTACAACCATCACCATAGTCGATTTTAGAAGAATTTTATAATCACGAAAAAAACCATTATACCCTTTCGCTATCAAGCCCCTGCACCCCAACCGTCCCCCTTCCAGCTCTAGGCCACTGTTAACCTCCTTTCTGTCTCTATGGATTTGCCTATTCTGGGCATTTCATATAAATGGAATCATACAATATGTGGTCTTTGTGATTAACTTCTTTCACTAAGCATAATATGTTCAAAGTTTGTCCATGTTGTAGCACGTGTCAGTACTTCATTCCTTTTCATTGCCAAATACCATTCCAGCATATAGATAGACCACATGTTGTTTATCCACTTATCCATTGATGGGTATTTGGGTTGTTCTAGTTTTTGGCTATTTTAAATAATGCTGCTTTGAACATTTTTTGTGCAAGTGTTTCTGTGCACATATGTTTTCACTTCTCTTGGGTATATGCCTAGGAATAAAATTGCTTAGTCAAATGGTAACTCTGTGTTTAACTTTTTGAGGAACCACCAGACCATTTTCAGAGGCATTGTACCTTTGTAGTGCACTATATTTTCTCTCTAGTTCTCATCACCTTTTTGGTTTTTTTTTTTGAGACTGGGTCTGGTTCTGGTGTGATCATGGCTTGCTATAGCCCAGGCTTGAGCAATCCACCCGCCTCAGCCTCCTGAGTAGCTGGGACTATAGGCACGTGCCACCATATGTGGCTAATTTTTTTTTTTTTTTGTAGAGTCAGGATCTTGTCATGCTGTTCAGGCTGGTCTTGAACTCCTGGCCTCAAATGATCTGTCTACCTTGGCATTTTAAAGTGCTGGGATTACAGGCATAAGCCACTGTGCCTGGCCCTTATACCTTTTAGCGGAACCTTTAATGTACTTATTTTGTCCAGTGTCCTGTCCCAGGTGCAGTTCCACAAAGGCAGGGACTTGGGTCTACTCTTTTCACTGCTATATTCCCAAGATATGGACTAGTAACTGGCATGTAGTAGGCACATGTTCAATAACTATCCCTTGAATGAATGAATGGACCTGAGTTTTCTGATTTTTCATTCATTTATTTATTACAATCTTTTATTCAACATGGATATATAGTGCCAGCTATGTACTTGACATAGGTATAACAATGGACAAGACAGATAGGGTCCTTGCCCACTTGGGGTGGACACAGGGTCTGAATGCCAGGCCTGACCCCCACTGTGGCAGGATAACCAGGTAATGAAACCTTTCTTACCTAGCACTTATAGACTAGTGGAAGTACACACACACACACACACACACACACACACAGAGAGAGAGAGAGAGAGAGAGAGAGAGAGAGAGAGAGAGAAAGAGAGAGAGAGAGAAAGAAAGCTAATTGTGATATCAGGATGTGAGAGCTGTGGTGATGGGAAGGACAGGCAGCCACAGGAATGCCAGGGAATACGCCTAACGCAGGCTTAGGAAATCAGGAAAGACTTCCCAAAGGAGGTGATATGAATGTTGGAATCTGGACGAAAAGCAGGAGTCTGACAGGAGGGGAGGGCAGTGCTTGCCGAGATGGTGCAGAGAGGAGAGCGTGGCACATTCCAGGAACATGGAGTGGGCAGAGTGTGGGGAGTTAGTGAGAGAAAGGGGTGAAGCTGGAGAGATCCGAGGGGCCAGCTGTCAGAATGGGTAACCTGTTGAGGATTTGGGTGTTCTCCCAAGAACAATGGGTAACCATAGCAGGGCTTTCCATATAGGGGAGTGGCACAGGTCAGTTTGGCATTTGGAAAGCCTGTTGGACCACAGTGTGGAGAAGCTATGGATGGGGCAGGACTGGGGCCGGAGACCAGAGAGGAGGCTTCTGCAGCATTCCAGCCAGTAATAACTTCAACATGGTGATCTGAAAGATAGCCCAAGTGGGGATGGGGATAAGTGGAGTGATTTGAGAGAGATTTCAGAGGTGGAGCTGCTGGGATATGAGGTTTGCCTGGAAAGGGGTTGCTTCCCCAGATTTCTAGTTTGCACAGTAGCGTGCCAATGGTGGGCTCCACTCTCAGCTGGGACAAAGCTGAGGCTGGGAGGAGGATGCTTTAGTTCAGTGTCGGATGGCAGTGGGCTGAAGTGGAGATATCTAGTAGACCCAAGAAGGCAAATAGACTTATGTTCTTGTGTTTTTTGACAATGCCTGTTCATTAGCTTTGACTGCCTGGGGCTCTGCTGCAAAGAATTGGGAGGGTAATTCCACAAGTGTGTGTCATGATTGATTAGTGGTATCTGACATGGGTATGCCAAGAGTTGTGAAGGGGAATCCAACAGAGTGTGTCATTATTGGTTGGTGATGTCTGCCATGGGCATTGGAAGCTGACGGCTGGGCTGTGTCATGATTGGCTTTGTAATATAGGCAGGGGGCTCTATGTGCTTGGCAAAGCATAGCTTGAGATCTACATTTATACCTAATAGCAAATAGAAGGATGTGAATAAGGTTGCCGTGGCTGAGAGCATAGTATAAAATGAGAAAAGGGTTTAGGGTCAAGCTTTGAGGAAATGGCCTTTTTGAAGTTGGGTGGAGGATTCAGAAAGATTAGAGGAGGCAGAGAAAACCAGAGAGCAAGGAGGAAAGCAGGAGAGAATGATGTAGAAGCCAAGGGAAGAGATGTTTCTAGAAGGGTGAAGTGGTCATCAGAGTCAGATGATACTGAGAGCTCTGGAACTGGGATCAGCAAACTTTTTCTGCAAGAGGCCAGTCAATATTTTCAGATTTGTGGCCCATGTGGTTTCTGTCTCATCTTTTCAGTTCTGCCACTGTAGCATGAAGGCAGCCACAGAGTGCATGTAGTTGAATGGAGTAGCTGTGCTCCAACAAAACTTTATTTACAAAAACAGGCTGTGGGCCAGATTTGGCTTGTGGGCTGTAGTTTGTGGATCCTGTTCTAGAGGAATGAGCTAAGGCCATAATGAGATAAGGCCATTCATTGCCTTAGCTGCATGGGAGTTTACTGGTAGGTTGAGGGAATGGACCGTGCCAAGGGGAGGAAAGAGATTAGATGGTGACTGGAGGGGAAAGTGGAACCAGGGAGGGTTTGTTTTTTTTTAATGTTTAAATACTGATGGCAAGGAGAGGAAGAGGTTGAAGCTACAGGAGAAAGAAAGCGGAATGGGAAGAAAGAGGCCCCAAGGAGGAAGGAGATGTAGAGCTGAGGTCAGCGGCGTCTGATGCAACACCAGAAGAGAAGGGAGGGGTGAGCGCTGATGCCAGGTGTTGATGCCTTCAGTGGGGATGTGGATGTGGAACTGATCCTATAATAACAATGCAGTGAAAAGGCTGAAAAATGAAGATGCTTGAAAGCATTCTCTGCCTTTGTGAGAGACTAGAATGCATTATTCTGGAAAGAGACCCAAGGCCGCCTTTTGTGATCCATTTAACTGCACATTCCATTTTCTTCCATTTCCATTGGCTTTTAAAGTAATTATTTAGTTTTATAGACCCATAATTCTTTATAATTTAAAAAAATGCAGAGAGTTCTAATAAACAGGATTTCCCAAGTTTGGTTCTCATTTGGTGGCAAAACCTTACTCATTTATGATGTGAGGCTGTCGTAGTTATGAGTCCATTTTGTCTGAATTATCATGTTTCCCTGAGAAATATTAATGTGTGGAATTCTATGATCCTGTCCCAGAAGCTGCTTAGAGAGTTCTGTCTTTTTACGGTATATATACCTTATGTCATAAACTTGGAAAAGGAAGAATTGCAGAAGTTGCCTGTCTCTCCTACCCAGTGGAAGCTACTGAGCTTTGTATCTCTCATTGGGCTCATGCTGCCTTGCCCACACCATAAATGTTCAAGTGCTGCAAGGTTAATGAAAGAGGCTTCCTATGTAAGTGACAGCCGCATTGCAAGTTTATTGCCTGCTCTGGAATCTGGGCCATCATTGCTGACGTGTCCCTGCCTGGCCGCCATGTTGCACCTGGTCTCATTCTTGTTACATCATGGGACGATTCCTCTTAATGGCTCATGTTACTTCTTCCAGGCACCTTGGCTGGAGTCATCGATCTCGCCGTGGACTGGATGACGGATCTGAAGGAGGGGGTCTGCCTGTCTGCCTTCTGGTACAGCCATGAGCAGTGCTGTTGGACTTCTAATGAGACCACTTTTGAGGACAGAGACAAGTGTCCCCTGTGGCAGAAATGGTCGGAGCTGCTGGTGAATCAGTCAGAGGTGGGTGTTTGGGCAGGGTCTTGGCTGGGGACCACTGCCATTCCACACATGCTTTGGAATGCTGCTGGGAGATTTGTGGATGTCTGTGATTTCACCTTCAAGTGCCTGTTCTGAAGGTCGTGGCTTAACACTAGGATGACTGGCTTTTTCTAGCTCTAATACTGTCACTCGAGCTTTACCTGCAAAACCCTTCCCCACTGTTTAATGTGCACAATGTGTGTGTGTGTGTGTGTGTGTGTGTGTGTGTGTGTGTGTTTGTATGTAAACCCTCGTATTTGGCTTTGTCATATTTGGCTTTATTTTTTATTACCGAAGGTGGTTTATTGATCATGCTGAAGAAATAGGGTTGACTTTTATATCTTCTAATTGAGGAGAACATATCGTTTTAAGTTATCCTTTACAAAAAGTAACAGCTTTAGTGAGATGAATTCACAGTTCATATTGTTCACCCATTCAAAGTGTACAATTTAATGATTGTAGTACATTCAGTTTTGTAACCATTACTGCAATCTAATTTTAGACCATTTTCATCATCCTTTCCAAAACTCTGTCTCCATTAGCAGTCACTCCCATGTACCCCAACCTGCCAGTTCTGAGCAACCACTAATCTACCTTTTGTCTCTCTATATTTGCCTCTTCTGGACATTTCAAATAAATGAAATCATACAATGTGTGGATTTTGTGTCTGGCTTCTTCCACTTAGCATCATGTTTCTAGGTTTCTTCCTATTGTAGCGTGAACCAGTACTTCATTCTTTTTGATGGCCAAATAATATTCTGTTGTATGAATGGGCCACATTCTATTTATCCATTCATTGGTTGCTTTTGCTTTTTGGCTATGATGAGTGATGTTGCTATGAACATTTCTGTACAAGTTTTTGTGAAGACATATGTTTCATTTCTCTTGAGTATATACCTGGGAATGGAGTTGCTGGGTCAGATGGTTACTCTATATTTAACCTTTTAAGCAGTGGCCAGACTGTTTTCCAAAGTGTCTGTATCATTTTACATTTCCACCAGCAGTGTATGAGACTTCCAATTTGTCCACCTTCCTGCTAACACTTGTTATTGCCTGTTTTTGATTATAGTCATCCTAGTGAGTATGAAGTGGCATCTCATTGTGCTTTCAGTCATCTTTCATTGCATTTTATAACCACCTTACAGAGGATGTTCTGGGCCTTCTAGAACGAGAATGCCCTACGCACAGGAGATAATAGTGGTGAACCACAGACCCATAGCATTAGAGCTTCAGAGCTTTATTAAAATCTTAGCTCAGGAAAGAGTTAACTTCTAACTCATTTTAGTGGTTACCACAATGACTATGGGTTATTAAAGGATCAGAAAGCCATGTGAGGGGGAACCAGGTTGCCAAGCTTCACATTAGGGGTAATGTGAGGATCTCTCAAGCTAGAACTAATCTTGGAAGATACATGTAATCTATTTATACATCTCCTCTCTTCACTTTTTTTTTTTTTTTTTTTTTTTTTTTTTTTTTTTTTT